CTACTTCCAGCAGGATAATGCACCATGTTATAAAGTGAATCATCTCAGACTGATTTCTTGAAACTTTTCCACTTAAGTAATTCCGAATAGAGCATATTGACAAACAACATTTTATTTTTTTAATCTTAAATGCAATTTTTTTTTTAATAATTACTGCTCTAAATGTGTTGCTCCGTCAGCTAAAGATCTGTTTTGGTCTCTATACTGCAGCTAATGATTGATTACTAAATTAAATGATGATTATTTCAATAATCAATTAATCATGATAATTCTGATTATTTGTTTCAGCTAGTTTGAGCGATGTTTGAATTTGGCAAATGGTCAACCAGAAAGACATCACATTACTCCATTAAGATATGTGCGAACGGACTGTTCACTCTCTGCCCAGGAAGAAAAAAATAAGCTGGTAGATGAAGAAATTGTTATTATGACTCAACTCGAACATCAGATTCAGAGTTGAGCTTTTAACTTTGCTTCATCATTCATTTTTCAACACTCTTTCAACTGTGAATTAATCAGCATTGTTTGGATGTTGGAAAAACTTTATTTTCCAACAGAAATAGGCTATATCAGCAACATTTTAAAAGGCATGTTTGTGAAAATTATGCTTTTTAGACATACAACTCAAAAATGGTTGACATTTAAACACTTAATCCATGAAGAGTTAACAACACAATTTAAACTGTTTAGTGTTTAATGTTGTTTTGATGTTGAACCAAGGTTTCCCTTAAACTGACATTTTATCAACAACTTTAAAACATTTAAAGTCAGTCGAATGCAACATAATCAGGCAGATGGTGACTGAATAAACTTCAAACTGGCATACGAATGAAAGGATAAATCTTTTTGCTGTTACTTGTCAGCAAGCTATTGACTGAGCTTCCTGTAAAAATCCATTATCTTTTTCAAACTGTGACACTTAATCAAAACTCTAATCCAATCTCTTAATTTTTATAGGTTAGCAGCTTTATAATAAAAAGCCCAAAATATGTCTAAATACACTTTTCCTATTACACACTGTATGATGAGACTTAGATTAAGCATAGGAGCAAAAAGACTTTGAACAGTCCTTTAAGCATGGAATTATTCTTTATAATGTGGAGTGATAGGTGGACATAAGTAGAATAATACAAAATACTGTTTAAACTTACAGTAATAGTGACTGAAGTGGAATTTTGCTTTAAAGGCAAGCTTTAAAGTAAACTGTTAAAATCTTAACTAAAACCTTGAGAGCTTATAATGTGACTAAAGTATGTCTCCATATTCAGAAATGGAGTCAGAGCAGCAGCAGACCCATTTTTTCAATAACCCAACATGCCATTTACCCAGGTGATGGTGGACCATCATTGTCATTAACAGACTGAACTTCAAAGGCTTTCCTTATGTAATGGAAACGCTGAAAGCTTTTGTTGTAAAGCCTTCAAATGTTTGCACCAGCGAAATATTTCCACCTATATTAGTTCAAATCCACACTAAACAGGTTGAGTCATTTGATCATTGTCAGTGATGCAATGATGCAAATATACCAAGAAATTTGTTAAAAAGCTGATTAAGGACAACATTATAGACATTTTGGAGCAGCTATCTTAACACTGGGGTTTTAGTGGAAAACCTGAGGTCAAAACTGAAAACGACGTGTGTGACAAACTGTGTTCAGTTACACCAGTTCTTTCAGGAGGAATTTTAATAACAAGCTTAGTAAAGTGAGTTTATGAAAGTATATAGTGGCTTGTTTTGAAAATATAAAAATGTATTTAGGCATCAGTTTTTGATTTCATCCTGCAGCTCCTGGCAGTTATTTTTGCAATGTTTTTTTGCACAACAGTGGCTGAGATCAATGAATAATAACTCACATAATCTTACCTTACTTGCAAATTACCTTTTAATATGCAAGTTCAATGAAACATAGTCACAAATCAGGGACATTTCTGAGATGGCTTTCCAAGTGGTGTCTTATAACTAATTTAATCACTTAGTGTCGGAAATGAAGTCGCTCATAAGAGGAGACAACAGTGGAAGCTGATCTAATACAAACCTTGGAGAAAAACATGATGAAAAGAGATGACAAGATTACACTAAGATGCTACATTGTTCTACAAAAGTATTAAAGGTTTTACATTTTTTTACAGATTTGTCAGATTTTGCTCATTAACTTTAAAATGTGATTTTCAGCTGATTTTTATGCACAAATGAAAACTATGTTGGCCTGAACCACCGCTTTTACCTTCTACCTTTGTTTTTTTGAAGTGTGACTTGTCTTGACATTTTTAGAGAGGAAAATATTTGAATAGTAGTTCTAAAAAAAAAAACGAAGTGAGTCTTTATTTGGAAATTCAGCATTTTTAATATGCACAATGGTGAACCTTTAAATTGTGGTTTTGGCTTTATATTTTGGCTTGCTGGAAGCTCATCCTCCATTCCAGTCTTAAGCAGGTTTTCCTCCTCAATTTCCCTTTATTAAAGGAAAAGTCTGGTCATATTCAGAATTCAAACTTCTCAAACTACTTTAAATATGAAATTATTACATACTAAATTATAAATGTTTTTAATTAAGAGTAATTTTCATTTAAGTATGCTTTAATCCATCCACATCCACATCCATGTTTGTCAAAGAACACTGCTTCCACCTACCGGTTTGTGAAGTCACGGTGCGGTATCGGCTATTGATCAAGTCCCACTGCTCAATCTGGTGTTTGTCACAACACGCTATTATCCACTTCATCTTGAAAACATTCTTCTTCCAAATGTTGGCTACATGTTACGTGTTTTTTCACTTGCCAGAAGTTCGATGGCAATTTCTCCCGTTTCAAGTTGGCAATCCAATGATGAACCCGTCCGTGGAGGATCATGAATCGGAATGGTGAAATAACACATTTTTATTTTCACTTTTACCCGATGCATAACAACATCCAACTGCCATGCATATGTGGGCATTGTAACTTTAACAATAGCTCTCACAACAGCGAATTTTAAGCTAGGCTTACCGCACAGTGATGTCACTGCCGGAAGATGTCAGGAGGGAGGTGTTACTATATTTGGGCATAAATGGCCGCTCCCGGACTCCCAAATTTTTAATGATCCATTGATTATTCCTTGCTGACCAGACTTTTCCTTTGAGGTTCATTCAACTTCCCATCAACAGTGAACAGTTGCCCTGGTTCCTGGAATATCATCCCACGTAGTGCTTTGTTTGTAGGCCCAAAAGATACATAGGATCACAGGCATCATTTTCTAAAGGACTCCCACCAACTTTTGCGTGGCAGGAACAGTCCCCTCCAGTCCCTTTCCGCTCATTAACTTTAGCCAACAGTAACTCAGGTTGGGTGCAGCAGTCTATGTTCAAAGGGTTTTGAGTCAGTGTTTCTTTTTCTTCTCTCCCACTGCTCCCAAGTCCCGCCCATCGGTGAAAAAAATCATCAGATCTGTCACTTTAAGACATAATATGATTTGCAGTCACTAATCACTGGGTACATAGTAGCTATGTGGTTAGAAGGGAGACACGCAGAGTGAATTTTAACCAGCAGCTAGTTCGATATAAGTTTAAATAAAAGTTAGGAGACGGGTTGGTCAAAAAATTTAAACACAGTGTTTAAATGTGTTCTTTTTTTTTACGGTGTCCTGTCTCGCAATGTGGCAATAAGAATAACTGTCTTCATGCTGAAAAGATCTCAACAGATTTTACTTTCACAAGTGGAGTAGTACGGCTAACGCCATAGTGTCCCGCTTGATTTATGCATATAAATAGCTTTATTATAATTATGCAGGGAGTTTTACAGATTATATGGACACTGCAATGTAGGTAAGAACAGGAAAGGAAAAACTGAAAAAAGGAGAAAAGATGAAAGAAAGAGGAAATAAAAGGGAGATAACGATAAAATGTCTTCAGTGTGCTTCATCACCTGCAAAGAGGTGTAAATTGAACAGCAATACCAACGAACATGGTACGAGACATACAATAAAGTAACACCTAGATACCATCACTGAAGCACAAGTAGTATTATTCAAACTGACATGCACTCTGTGGTACCTGCAGATAAGAACATGGGCTTTCTGTATGTGTGTGTAATATGTTTTTCTTTACTAGTTAAAAAAGCTGTGCTTCTTAGAGGACCATGACTCATAGTTACAGGTTAAAATGAAAACATATCTGTTGTTTTCTTATTGAACAGACCGAATCAGGTGGCAGAGCTTCAAGACCTACCTTCTTGACCATAGCTGTGGAAACAGCAAAAAGGCCCATATCTACTAAAGGTTTTCCAATTTATTCAAAAATGCAACACCCAGCCAGGAGTTGTTTCTTCAGAAGTCTCAAGCTGCAATAGCCTTCCTTTCTTAGCCATACCACAGCACTTCCATATAAGTTGATGGTAGGCCATCTCAGGTCATGTTAGGTCAAGGAACGAAAAAGTCCCTTTGGCGGACTTGCTACTATACATATGCTTAACCAGAAACAGAAAATGATAAATAAAAAGAAATAATTAATCTTCAACAATATAATTTGTGCAATCTGTGTAATCCATTCAAAATTTGGGGGAGCGAACAGTTCTTGTGTTGAGGTCAGCCATCATGGCATTAGCCTTTACTGTATGTCGGTTGGGTATATTTTGTGCTTTAAGATATTGTGAGGGATCAGACAAAAGGAGGTTGTGGGACAAACAGTTCAACAAACATAGTTCCTTTGTTGTTTTTGAACACAATCTAAAACTTTTAACACTAGGTCTCTCTGTTGAATCTGTTCAATTAGTAGAAAAACACTTCAATTAGTGGAGACATTTTGAGCTGCCGTAAGTTTGTTAATATTCTTTGTATCACCTTAGGGGTAACCCCCTTGCGCTGAAAACCCAGTGACGCCTCTGATTGGATGTAAATTATATTGTAATAAGTGGCTTCTAAGTTATTTGGATTTGTGATATTGCTTCTAACTCAATATAGCCTGACAATTTTATATTCCATGGTAAAGTACTGCAAATGTCATGCTGTTTGTTTTTACTATCTTCCAGATCCCGAGTCACATCTCAGCCTTGGGATGTTGGATAACAACTGTTCTTTCGATCCAATGCCTGGGATCGATGAAAGGTTTTGTCCTACAGGACAGGAGTGCATGAATATGACCTCCGGCATGAATATCAGCCAAACTGGTATGGATGATGCATGTTTGACAGAGGAAGGATATCTGGAAAAATATCTGGGCCCTCGACGATCACCTGTGTTCCTGCCTGTCTGCCTCATTTATCTTCTCATCTTTTTGATTGGCGTTGTGGGGAATGTGCTAACATGCACAGTTATTTCACGCAATAAGGTCATGTGGACACCAACAAACTACTACTTGTTCAGCTTGGCCATTTCAGACCTGTTAGTGCTACTGCTTGGTATGCCACTGGAGCTGTATGAACTTTGGCAAAACTACCCATTTCTCTTAGGAAAGGGAGGCTGCTACTTCAAAACGTTCCTTTTCGAGATGGTCTGCTTGGCCTCCATTCTTAATGTAACTGCCTTGAGCATTGAGCGCTACATTGCCGTGGTGCACCCACTGAGGGCAAAGTATGTTGTGACACGTACTCATGCCAAGAAGGTCATCCTCACTGTGTGGGGCATATCGGTGCTGTGTGCTGTGCCTAACACGAGTCTGCATGGGATCATAACCCTTCAGATTCACTCAACTGGTCCTTCTGGTAACATAAACCTTGAGATTCCCGACTCGGCTATCTGTACTTTAGTGAAATCACGTTGGATGTACAACCTCACCATCCAGCTCACCACCTTTGTGTTTTTCATTCTGCCCATGATCACAATCAGTGTTCTCTACATGTTGATTGGGCTGCAGTTGAAGCGTGAAAAGATGCGGCAGAGGCTGGAGGCCAACTCTGGCTTCGGAAGTGACAGCTTTTGTAACATCCGTACCCAGCAGCAGAAGGCAAGACGCCGACAGGTCACAAAAATGTTGTGTGAGTTAACATTTCTACATTTTCACCTTTCTAAAAATTTAATTTTCATTCTTATAAAATGATGCATATAGTTACATCAAGATATTTTCACTAAAGGCAGATTTTATTTGTTCTTTTCAACAGCCAACAGCAGCTAAAAGTCCATTTTAAATTCTCCTTTTAAAACTGCAAGGAGGAAAGCCTTCATTCATTTTTCAAACATTTTAAACATAAGAGGTCAATAACCATTGTTTTCAGAATCCAAGGTGTACAAATTAATCAAATAAAATCACAGATGCAGAAAGACCAAACGCTGGGATTCAAACTTGGACCAATTAGCTGCAAAGCTTAAGTGTTACCAACTGCATCACCATGAGGGATCAACTTAAAAAAATCAATATATTCATAAGCCTAATATTATTTCTCTTGGGCTTTACCCATCTTTTTTGTATTCATGTGGCAAAACTATACTGTACCTTAGAGTATAAAGTGCTTTAAAAGTATAATTAGGATATTGCAGTGATATTTTCATTATTTCAAAGCAAAAATTTTTACACAAGGAGAAGTTTATATAGATGAAATATCTAAGTGGTCTAGTATTTTGCTAGACACATTAAGGATGACAGCTTGAAAAATCCTTATTCTATTGCTACTCAGGTATTGGTTCTAAATGCTTTCCAATCCTGATGCATATTTAATCCTTTTGCAGTGCTCTTGCATGAGAGCTTCTCTTGAACCACAGGAGGACCTGAGTAGGAGCTCTGGGGGCCTCACAACAGGGATAAAGTACACACTTCATGCACTTTCTGTTATTAGATATCTTTTATCCTGATGTGCAGGATTAAAACAAATCTGAGGCTCCAGGATAACTAATAACCTAATTCATAATGGAAGGAAGGCCCTCAGAGGGGCTGTTTAGTTCAGGCAAAATATGTTGGCAGTATTAGTTATTGACTTCCCTTTGAGTTCCTGACCACAACATCTAATTCACTTCCTTTTCCCTTTCTTTAAGTTGTTTTAGTGGTGGTTTTTGGAATCTGCTGGGCCCCGTTTCACACGGATCGCCTCATGTGGAGTTTCATCAGTGACTGGACCGATAGCCATCACGAAATCTTTGAGTATGTACACATCATCTCCGGCGTGTTTTTCTACCTCAGCTCAGCAGTCAACCCAATCCTTTACAACCTCATGTCCACACGCTTTAGAGAAATGTTCAAAGAAGTCATGTGCCATCGGCCACATCACATCAGCCCAAGAAAACACTCTCTGAGTGTGACCAGAGTGACACTCCGCAGCACACTGAGTGACGCACCTCTCAGCAACGGAACCACTGTTGCTGAGGCGGACATGGTTGCAGATGGCGAAGGAAAACTAAAAGATGAGACCTGTTTTTCGTGTTAAAGAAAAATCTATGAGGACATGTGAAAAGGGGTGGAATTGTTGTAGAGTCTGTTATTTGAAAGTATCTGCTTGTTGCTATGCTTGCTTTTCCCCAATGTCATCTGCCTTCTACAGAAGATTTTACACAGGTATGTCAAGAAAATATCTGTGCAGAAGAATTAAGTTAAAGCAGAACACTTCAGTTATGTGGAAGGTTGCATATAAAAAAGTAAGTAATCCATTTATTATCTAGTATGAGATCTAACAATTTTTCTTAATACATTGTGTTATATTATTTAAATAGCTATTAAAGCTTGATGACTTGATGGGACATGAATGTATTTAAGGGTGTCTACTTTAGTTCCACAGTCATGCTTGTCTAAACTATAATCTGTTGCTTGGTGTTTTCAAAGAATTGGTCCTTTAATTTCAAACCAGTTATATTTCAGAACTTGGGAGCAGTTTAAAGGTTTGTCCTAAATTATTAAAGTGGAGGTAGGATATTCACCACACAACCTTTCAGGAGAACTCCCATTAGAAAAAACTGAACTATGTTTTGGGGACTGTGATGAATGTTTAAGACTGATACTTATTGAAAGTGCTGTGCACAGAATTTTTGAAAACTGGGGCAGGTAAAAAAAAGGGCATATATAATGTGTCTGCACCACTCTTGAGGGCACTCCAGCAGATGTTTTGGCCCCCTAGAGGGCACTTTAACTTGTGTTTTGGCTCCCAAGAGGGCACGTTAGTGCACATTTTGGCTCCCGGGAGGGGACTTTAGTGCTATTAAGTGCCATTTAGTGCCATTTTTCAACAATTAGCCGCCCCCCCCCCACCCGTCCGAAAGCGCCTTTTTGAACATCAGATTTGTACACTTTCATAAATTGTGTGGTCCAACAATTGCTACGACTTCTCCAAATAGTGCAGTGTCTTTTTTCTGTATGTTTAGAATTTTGATGTATTTTAGAAAACTGCTATACATGGATAAAGAAAAAAAAGCAGCCATGAAGACTTAGTAGCAGGTGTTTTTAAAAAAAAGTGTGTGTTACTGTGTAAGTTTACCAAATCTGTGCTTGTATCTGGTTTGTTTTTGATTTAAGAAGGTGTTGTCTGATGTTGTGTTTTTTATTCATTTTTATGATACTTTCATGCCTTATTACTGTATGTATGTAATAATTTAAAAAAAGTAATAATTCTTAATGAAAAGTTTAGTGTGTTTCTTTTTTCTACCTGAGTAATGTTCAAAAATAGCACACAATATATTCAATCTTATGGACCCAGTTCCTTAATTCTCAAAGTACTGTAAGGTGGGGACTACAGAATAAAAGGCTCTAAAGAGTGAAAAAAAAGTTTATTGAAAAACAAAAATCAGTTGCATGAATGCAGGCCTGTGATGAATGAATGTACTCGCAGTTTTCAGTTTTTAACCTTTGAAAGTTATTTATCTCCTGGGGTTTCATTTATAAAACGTGTATAATTCATACTAAAAGTGTAAGGCAAACACCCGAAAACTGAGGAAAGCACAGCTTGAATGTTAATGTGTATTTAAATGAGCCAGCTGATTATTGTTATTTGGTGGTTATCGTGGCAACTGCAGAGAGCAGAAAATAATTTAGTATGGTGTTGATGTTTAAGATAGAAAGATATATATATTTGGTAGCCACAGTAAATAAAAAAAAAATAAAAAACAATTATTAAGTGAAAAAAAGACTCAGAGTCAAACATGCCTCTGCATGGCTACCCTGAAAGAGGCACAGCATTTGTCTGCAGCCTCTGGTGTCTGTTCTGCTTCATTCACTCTGCACTCTGGTTTAATTTTTTGATCAGCAGATTGAGACTTTCATCGAGGCATGTTTCCCTTTTCTTGTGTTTTTCAAATTTTTGCCTTCAGTGCTAATAGGGATTCTTAAGTTTTGATCTGAGCTTGAAGGGAGATTTTGGGTGCTGACAGCAAAATCGCTATTTTAATATATTCCAAATATGTTCGATACCATGATTGTTTTTATGATTCAATGGAGAGTAAAATACAGCCAGGTATTGGCATACGAGGAAAATGATACTTTAATGCCAGTGATGAAACAAGGAGTCATTACATTATTCACCAAACCAGGAAAAGACTAAAGATATATTCATAATCAAAGGCCAATAACTTTTGGCCAAGTGACCTAAACTGTACACTTGTCATGATTACTTAATTAGCTGATCACCATTTTAAAGAAATATTCAGTCCTAATAATCTGATAGATTTTTAAACCCCTATTGAAATGCTTTTAACTGTTTTGACTTGGTGAAAGAGAATCACTATGTTTTAGTGAAAGTTCCAACAGGAATTTCAGTAGCCTACTACCTCTGGTTGCATCTCAGGGACCATATATGTCACAGTCATACCTTGTAAGGGATAGGTGAAGAGAGACATACAGTACAAACACACACTAATGTGAACGCAGGACCTGTGAATATAACAAAACTTGCTTCCGGGTGCTAATTAGCCATAAGCCACTCATTTCAATTCCAAATAAAGTAAGAAACTGACTTCAATACACAGACTGCAAGAGTGACTCCAGAGTAATCTAGAAAAAATATAAAGATTCTGTCATTTTAATCTAAATGTTTCCTGTCCCAAATAAGTTTTTAAAAAGTCAAGCAGGTTGTTCAGTGATTTTCAGTACAAAAGATTCAATGTATAAATCAAAAAAAGAAATAAAGCATCATTACATCATGTTTATATTGGAATAGTGGAGACAAGTGTTTACTGAAGCAGGTGTAGAGAAAGGCAGAACAGAGGTAAAGAGGTTGATGATTGGCCTCTCTGGTAATGCATATCTCAAGTTTCTATCCCATCAAGGTGCAAAGTAAGTCGATAAATGCTCAACCAAAAACAAGGACCTGCAGAAATACCCTTTAATCTTGCTCTCTTAAATCTTAAATTATACAAAAGCTCAAAGAAGAGCTCTGAAAGCATAAACAAGCATACAGTTGTTGCAAATTACGAAGTGTTTGATCAACTCTAGTGGGTTTAATGTAGAACAAATGTTGGTTTTTGATCTTCATTGTAGCTTGTATTCTACAAGGCACCTTTGTTAGGTACAATTACAATTAGACTGGCTTTGTTGGGGCTCTTAAATATAAGGAATGACATGCACAGAGTAAACTAAGGAAAATTATTTCAACCCAGAACTGAACCAAGTTCATATGCAGGCTCATCCAGCTCGCTAAAACGTGTGGAGTAAATGCAATGTGATGTGTCAAGTCTTCAATCTTATCGAATCAAAGTAAGGCTGTACTGGAATTAAATGTCAAACTCATGATGGATGCAGAGATCACCTTGCAATCTGTCACATTGAGTATATTTCAAGAACTGTATCCCCAATGAGAAGTTTTGACACTTTGGCTTATATATACCATGGTAGATATTGAAGAGACAATGGTATTACGAAAAATCAAAGTCAATTTTCCTATTATTCTATATCAACAGAAACCCGTTTGAGTGAACTGTAATATACCGTATGAAGCCCATCCACTCATCTCCATTGTATGTTGTATTCTACTTTGCTCATTTTGAAGATAAATTCTACAAACAAATTAAAACAAAGTCACTATCTCAGATAAGTCATCTGCTAATAAAGAAAACTATGTAATTTCAGCTGTTTAGTTTGCATGAAGTGACACCCTTCAGCATTTACCTTGGTGGAGAAAACAAACAAAACTGATGATACTCTCCTTTTGTTGAGTGCTGGTGTCGGAAGCTTCAGTGCAGAGGAAAAGTAAAGTTAAAGCCGCAATACCTCATTTGAAAAAAGCCCCATAGCACCTGGAAAGTCGTCCCATAACTCCCAAAGGACTGAAGCATGGACATTCTGTCATTCTTCAGATTCTCCTCTGATTCCCAGGCTGCTGCTTGGAGGACAAAGTTGTTGACTGGAGCCTTGAGTAAAACCTTTAACTGCACCACCTAGGCTGCCGAGATAAGCGTTCCAGCTAAGCCCTCTTCTATGGTGGACTGTGGTGCTCCCCAGTCTGCGCATCCTCTCGTCTACCTGAACAAGGTTGAGGCATACCGGAGGGTGGCAGCCAGGCTGTGAAAAAAGCTTGTCTGGTTGTCGAAGCCTGTCCTCTTTAATGGACAACAACAAAATTCTGAGGTTCATGCAGGTTTGTCAGAGACTTCCTGAGATGAGCAACACACAGGCATTTGAAGCACAGATCACAACCGTCCTCTACCTGGAGATGGACCCCATATAAAGTGCATGCCAGCATCTTAATAACAGTTGTACCAAATGTGGGCAAGAACCAGGCAAACTTAGCGAAGATTTCAATAAAACTGAAGAACCAGATAAGAGATCTTGATTAATTGATAATGTGGCCAAATATACACGTGTGTATGTGTATATTTTGTACCTGAATGTAGCCTTCCACTTAATATTTATTTACATGTTTTTGAGTCAAGTGCTTGACTTTGTTTACGTTTAATCTCTACTTGCACAGAGAATGAGGAAACACATTCACTCTTTTCACTGCTCCTGGCAGTCAGGAAGGAATGAAACACAACCAAAGTTTATCTTAAAATAATTTGTAATGGGGTCAAAATGGCTTTAAACTAATTTAGTACAATTGCAATGTGTTCAAATCAATTTACAATGCAAACCAAAAAAGTAATTAAAACATTTTTTGTTAAAATAAATTTCTACATTTCGTTATTGGTTCCTAACCTTTTGTAATTTAGTTAGTAGGTTGCAGACATGAGGAAACTCATCTTAAAGGACTCTTTGGTTTTATTTTATAAATCCAATCTAAAGAAGACATGAGGACACAGGTGATGTGGACAGCAATCTGCAAGGTGTTTATCACCAGAGGAGGCTAAGGTTATGATCATCAGGGATAACAAGGAGCTGGAGAAATTCATTTGAGCACGATATTGAGAGAGAAGGTAATATTACCTCACAAATGGAATGGCATAACAACTGAAACAGTTGCACACATTACATCGGTTGTGTTATTAGCTTTCTGCAAAATTTTACATGAAAAGAAATCCAGAAATTTAGAACAGTTCACCTGTGTTTAAAA